ATACATAGCCCCAGATAAGACAAGCCCTCTGTGACTTACAAATGGAACTTCTCCTCCCAAACAGGATTCAAGTTTCCAAAAATGGTCTTGGTGCGCTTCTTGGTTTTGCCGACTTGTACAGTTACATAAGGGTCACTGGATCCTGTTTTGTCCTTGGCTTGTAGACCCTGCGCACACACCACTGCAACCCAAGCGCATGAAGAAGGCTTCAGAGTACACCTAAGAGTAGGTTAAAAAAACTACTCTCCATTGCACTACTCAGGGGCTCTCCATCTTAGAGCAGCTTCTCTATGCTCCCTAGTGAACCCTAATCTCATTTCTCCATATGCAGTAGAACCTCCATAGTTGACTACCTCCCTACATTGACCACCTCCTTAAGCTGAACTAATTTTCAAAGACCAGCATGCACTACGTGTATGTATCAGTCCAGTAGGCCTAGCTCCTTATGTTGACCACCTCCATATGTTGACCAGTTTGTCACAGTCCCTTGGGTAGTCAACATACAAAGGTCCTACTCTATATCCTTGGTCTTGGGGCCAGCCTTTCCCTCAAAGCTTAGCCCAAGAATCCCACCTACCCACCTGACTCCTAACTGATCACTTACCCCTACATATTACTCCTTACAACCTCTGATATGTGCACAATTCAGCCCCATCTACCCAGTTAGTAAATCACTGATTAACTACTCTCTAGCCTACCCCCTTCATTCCACCTCCAGCTCTTGTAAGATCAAACTGTTAACCAAGTCTACAGTGTCAAATTGTTACTACAGCCTGTATTACAGTTCATACTGTTTGAGGGGCCAGTCTTGCCTATGCCAGCACCAGGGTCTAGGTGAGAAAGAGTGATGAATAATGAGACCTCCCTTTTACCCTCATTTCTATCTTCCTTTTCCTCAGTTCCTTACTCTCATGCAGGAGGCTTCTTCCCCAGGATCCTCCCCATAGCCAGGCCTTCCTGTCCCTCAAACTTTGACTTGCTCACCAGTGATGGTAATCTTGGCTGACCATTTGGAGGTGCCATCCAGTACACTCTGCTTAACTGTTTTCATCTGCTGCACGTGGGCAACTTTGTTCACTGTGAAGACATCCCGGATAACTTCAAAGATCTCTGGCTTATTTCGCTCTCGGATCTTCATGCGGTCCTTCATGGCCATGATAATGTTCTGGGTTCGATCTTCAGCTCCATGTTTAGAGCTCTTTTCTGCAGCCCCTGAAGGATAGCCAGAGATAGAAAGTAGGACTAAACTACAAGCCATCTATGACACCAAGGGTTGCGCTAAGGAATAGGGCCTGGGAGAGGCCATTGGTGGAGTGTGAGTAGCTTAGGGAGTTGGGATATCTCTGGGGAAAATGTACACTGTGGGGCCTGCTGCCTGTCCAGTGGGGTTTAAAATGCAACTCAAGGGCAGCAAAATCTTGACAATTGTTAAGGGTGTTCATTATACATTCTATTTAGACACACACAATTTTTCATCAACTCTCCAACTCTAAGGTCAAGATAACACCAATAGGTGTCTTACTTATCAGGGAAGAGTAGTGGGTGGGCATATCAATAGCACCAATCTCATCCAACTGCCAAGCATAATACAAATCCCAGACTTTGTCACAACACATAGTTGGGGTCTACTCTATGGCTTTAGCACCTTTAATCTCAGAAAATAGTGTGGTATAGTGAGAAAAGTATGGACTTTGGTGTCAGACAGACTGTATTCAAATCTTGGCTCTAACACTCCTAGCTTAGTGAACTGGTTTGTTCTAAGAGGAGATAACGGTTCTTATTTTTCAGGGTTGAAATAACATTATTATTTTTTATTCTTTGAGACAGAGTCTCATTGCCCTGGGTAGAGTGCCATGGCATCATAGCTCACAGCAACCTCAAACTCTTGGGCTTAAGCGATTCTCTTGCCTCAGCCTCCCATGTAGCTGGGACTATAGGTGCCCACCACAACACTCAGCTATTTTTTTTGTTGTTGTAGTTGTCATTGTTGATTTTAGCTGGGCTGGGCTGGGTTTGAACCTGCCAGCCTCGGTGTATGTGGCCAACGCCCTACCCACTGAGCTACAGGCACTGCCCTGAAATAAACATTATCTTAGATAACATATATAAAGCATCTAGCCCAGGGCCTGACAGATAGCAGGTACTCAACAAATAGTCACTATTATTGTTAGAACCATCATTATTACTCTGACAGGGTCAAAGACAATCTTCAACAACTATAGTCCTAGCTAGCTCATCTCAGAGGCCAGTAGGCTTTCCCTGCTGCTGAAGGATCGTGAGTAGGCTCCTCCAGTATATTTTGCCAATTAGGCTTCTCACTTAAGCTCAAGAGTTTGAGGTTGCTGTGAGCTATGACACCACAGTACTCTACCCAGGGCAATAGCTTGAGACTCTTCTGGGGCCCTATCTGTACTTTACTGGCCCTATAGACTGGATCTTCTCTCCCTCCAATCCTGAAAGGTTTAAGTCTTTACTCTAAAAACTCAGAGCAAAAAATAAAGGCTAACATCTGCATCCTACCCTTGGAGTGTTGGAAGCATGGTTTCTGTCCAAGGAGGCCCATAAGAAGGTTGCTTCATTCCACTCTATGCTTCACAGAAGCCTTAGAAACCTTCACAGAAACCTTCTCTGAGAAGCTGTTCTCAGAGAAATGGAAGATTTGGCTATATCCTACTCTTGCCAGTTAGCATATCTCAGGCAAGGTGCTACTTCCTTGGAACCTCTGAAAGGTCTTCAAGGAGAAGTCAGACACCCTGGCAACACTTTTTAGAACCCTTCTAGCAAGCACCTGTGTAGCCAGCCTATCTGCTAGTGGTCAGAAATTAAACCAAGGCCTCTGGCACCTATAGGTCCATGATAGGTTTGGGCAAAGTCATCACTGGCATTTGTTTTCAGATAGTCTTTTCAGAGCCTCATTATTTCTACTGACTCTGTCCTATTTGTCTCTTCATGTCTACTGTGGCCATGCCACTGGCAGCAATCTAGGGTTCTTCAAAGGAGTACATTTTAAGTGAATAATTCCTCAAGGCCTCTCCCTGGACCCCTTCTATGACATATGGCTCCTTGAGATAATGAAGTGCTTATGAGTATAAACGTAACCTTTCTTTCTCCTACTACAATTCTTAAAGCTTTCATTGCTATGGCTTGGCACAGGGTAATAGCTGGAAGACCTAGAGGGCAGGAGAATACTTTCACATATCCCTCACCCTGGGGAATACTTTCACATATCCCTCACTCTGCTCTGCCTGGGGTCCAGTTTCAATGAGTGCAAGCCCAGCAGGAGGCGAGCGCTACCCCCTCCTCTGATAGGAACTTGCTACTTTTCCTGCCCCTGTTCTCCCTACTCCATGAGGCAGCTGAAGTCACATATTTAGCCAGGCCTTGGAGGTCTGTCTGGCACTCTCTCTTCCTGGACCTCTGCCCAATTCATTGGAAATGCCTATTTCCAGAACTGTTGTCTAAAACTTGCATCTATAAATAAGGAATAAATGCTGCCTCCCCTGGGTCCTTGAGTCTAGATCTCAGGAAGTTCATGTGTGAGGCCCAGAACCTCACAGAACCCACCCTCTGTCATTACTTTCAGTCCCTCATTAAATCATGCTCTTATCATTTGGGCAATAAGGCCACTGTGATGATATGCTACTCAAGGTCAGCCTCTAGGATCACCTGAATCCTGTAAGAGATTCTAGCTCCACCAAGAGGCCACAGAGAGCTCAAACTTTTTTCCTAGCAGTGCTTAAGAGGGTAATATAAGACTTGGTATTTGGAAAAGGAATGCCCCTTGATTTGGGACCTTATCTGCTCTGAAAAGGAAAAGGGCTTCCGAACCAGGTAAACTGTGGGACTGTTTTGCAGAGACCCTGACCTGCTTCCCTTAAGCCCCACCCCTAATCTCACAGGGTACTCACGCTGTAGGCAGTCAGCATTGAGCAGGTCCTGGCACTTCTCATGGCACTTGACTCCACACTCACTGCAGCGCATGCCCTGCCGGGCGATGCCCCAGAGCAGGCCTTCACACTCATAGCAGTAGGTTGGTGTAGTGGCTGTCCAGACTTCAAAGTTGTGGGGTGTGGTGCACGAGATAGGGTAGATTAAAGCCTGCAGGGTTTTCTTATACACATGGGATTTCTGAAAGACACATACCCCATCACCCACCAGCAACTTTAGGATTCTGCCATGAGATGCCAGAATCAAGATCCCATTTTCTCTTCTAACAACAGAGAAGGCACTATCCTAGTCCAGCTCGTATCCCAGCCAACCATAAATAAGCTCCCAATATAGTATGCTCCTGACAGTCCAGCATAGGTTGGACCTGATGCTGGGTCTGAGCCTTATTCCAGCATTCACACTTTTTAGGGAAACAGAAAGTAGTAGGCACACCATAAAACTCTGAGTTAAGTGGTCACATCCTTCAATATGAGCTGGGCTTACCCTCTTAACTGGACTATTATGAAATGTGAAAAACTAAGACCTGGCCAGGTACAGTGGCTCATGCCTATAATCCTAGCACTTTGGGAGGCCAAGGCAGGTGAAGGGCTTGAGATCAGGAGTTTGAGACCAGCCTGAGAAAGAGCAAGACTCAATCTCTAAAAACAGCCAGGCATTGTGGCAGGTATCTATAGTCCCAGCTAATTGGGAGGCTGAGGTAAGAGGATCTCTTAAGCCCAAGAGTGTAAGGTTGCTGTGAGTTATGACCTCCTGGCACTCTACTGAGGGCAACAAAGTAAGACTCTGGCTCAAAAAAAAAAAAAATCAAAAAAAAACCCTGAGTCCTAATACCATCTACTTTATCAATGATGTGTGCAAAGCACTCCTGAACTTCAAGTAAGTATGCCTGTAGAGATGATCACCAGTCCTGAAGCCAATGGGCTCCTGAAAGCCCTGGATCACTTACCAAGTCTTCATCCTTGAGAGAGGTACGTGTAGCCATTGCAGAAGTAATCCCTGCCTTCCGGGACTGGACCAGTGACTGTGAGAGAAGATCATAGTTAGCAACCCTGCCACCAAAGGCTGGCAAAATCCTGGGGAGGGGGCTTTAGGGACCAAAGCCATTTGACTACAGCTTACTATAATACTCTCTCTCTATTTTTACTATTACTCACAGGGACTGCCCTGTGCAACAGGTAATAAATGTCCCAGGTTAAGATTTAAAATCCAATGTCCTCAGTGGACTTAGTTACAATAGCACTTCCCTCAAGATAGCCATCATCCAAAGAATTTCTCATTCTCTTACTATTCTTAAGTGTCCTATCTGGTAGCAATTCCTTGTTTATAGGAAAGCAAAGAAAAATGAAAAGGTTAGAATTATAGTAGGAAACAGGTCATTAAAGGTAAGAGAGACACACAACTCACAGAGTCACAGTCAAGAATCATTATTAACAACAATGATCCCATGCTAACCTCTACCGTCTTGTACTTTACTACTCCCTCCTATACCCATTTAATCCCTGGTGGCTATAGAGGCCAGAAACTTAATAGAGTACTGAGCAAGTAAAAGGGGCCTTGTAGCTGCAGTCAAATCCAGTAAGGCAGGGAGTTAAGTCCGAGAGCTAGGGCTGCTCTGCTAGCCAGGCTCTTGTGTAGAGGGGCCCCCATAACTGCCAAGCCTAAGCTTTATGGGCAGCTCTTGGAGAAGCACATGGTTTCCCTAAGGCAGAGGACATTGGGAAGACAGAGGTCATAATATCGCCCTAAGCAGGAGTGAAAGCCAGGAAGGGCCCAAGTGATTGGGGAAATGGACTCTTAGAGAAGATGGGGAAAGGCTCTGAAGACACTCACCATAGCCTGTGCAGAGGAGAGCAGAAAAAGGAACAATATGACGTTAAAGCCCCTCAAGGGCATGAAAACATTCAGAAGCAACTAAGAGATTCTTCTATATACTCAGAAGTGGGGCACATGTCATGACCCCCCTACCTCTATCCACTAAAAACTATTTTCAACCCAGATAGCTGACCAGGGCCCAGAACCCAGAGCTCTTGCTCTACTCTAAGGGACATTAAAGTAAAAAAATAGGAAAAAGCAAAAGACAGAGGAGGGAAAGCAAGAAATGAACTAGATACTTGCTGGTAGGCAAGAAGAGAGAAAGGATAAGGTAGAAAAAGAAGAGGAGATGAGAGACAATAAAGGGAGGAAACAAAATATTAAAGAAGAGATGACATCAGAATTTATCTTCAACCAGCTAGATGAAGAGCTGGTGGAAGAAGAGGTACACTGGAAAGGAGGGAACAGAGAAAGGAGAAGTTGCATAAATGGTAGGAAATAAAGGAAGGAAAGATATAACAGAAAATGACAGATACTTCCAATCAGCCAAAAGAGGGAAAAACTAGTGGGGGGAAAAAGAGAACAGAGAATGGAAAAGAGGGGAGAGGAGTGGATAGAAAAAAAACATGAAACAGACAAAGGAGGGGAAAAAAGAAAATAAAATGGTAATTAAAAAAAAAATACACAGTTCAAGTCCTACTAAACCCTTATACCTTACATCTGGCCTTAGAACTCTGAGACTTTGGGAGAGCTTGAATCCATTCTACCCCACTACACACAAGGTTACAGAAAATTCCTTGAGCTGATCCTGTCTCAGAAGACATGACCCAGAATAGAAACTTCTACTCATCCTGGAAGTCCTGAGATCAGCTTTAACTGCTAAGCCTGTTCCAATTCAATTCCACAGATTTCTATCATTGCCAGACTAGGTTACAGAGATAGTCTAGATTCTCTGGAAAGCCTATGTCTTGGGAGGAGACTTTCACTTGACCTTCAAGAAGGGATCCAATTCCAGTTATGTTTATTCCACACTAAGCTCAATGATCTAAGTCAAGGCCAGAGGCAGTTCAATTCTAGGTCATCAAAGAAGGCTGTAGAGATATCTATAGGAGCTAGATACCTAGAAAAAGACCTGAGCCCAGCTTTGAGGACTTAAGTCACAAATGGTCCATGTAAGAGCGTGAGCTAATAAAGAACTCAGGACTAATTCTAACTAGGGAGTGAGATAGAACAAAGTCCCATTGAAGCTATCACTAAATCCCAGGGAGGTTTTAAATGGACCCCTTCCAATCCTGACAGCTACCACCTAAACCTGCACAGGAGTCTTTACTCACCAGATCACTGACAAGTGGCAGTGGCTTCTTTCTGCGTAGATCTGGCATGCTGTCAATGCCATAGAGCCCTCCGGCTGGCCTAAGGAAAAAAGAAAATGTTAGGAACTCCAGTCCTGCCTTGAGTTATCGGCAGATCCAGTGTTCCATTCTCCTTGCTTTCTCTCTCCCCACAGGAAGATGAACTGACCTCCACTATGTGCCTTTGAGAGGGGCAAAGACAGAAGTGAGAGAAATAAAGTGATGGGATGGTGCACCATGAAATCTACCCTCAGAGTACCTCTCAGTGTCTCCTATGGTTTTAACCAAGGACTGAGAGCTCTTTTATCCCACAGTAACAGTTCAAGGCACTTCTGTTTATTTTGAGTGCTTGTACTCCATGAGGCAAGGTGGGAATTGGTGGATAAGAGGACTCCTCCCTACCCTCAAGCCAGAGATTACTGTCCTCCAGATAAGTCTTGCTTGGCCTGTGCCAGAACAAGCCCACAGCAGTGGCTCTACAGGAAGAGAGCCCGCTGCCTCAGTGAGGCATGTAAAAGGAGACCATCTCCATCCAAGAGTAAAAGTCACCAGTTCTGTCTACTGAGGTCTCCAGACAAAAAAGTGTTTCCAGGGAGAGAGGAGCCCTCATAATCAAGTGGAAGTGGGGCAATGGAATGACAGACTTCCAAAAGACTGTTTAGGGGAAGAAAAACCCCACATCATTTAGGAAGGAAACAGCAAAGGAGCTCTGAGAGTCTAGCCAAGACCTAGGGAAACAAGAGAGACCAGAAAAAATATATAGCTAGAGCAACTGGAGCTTTCTAAAACTTTTATGTCTTTTCTACACTGAATTAATTTTTGTTCTTAGCCTATCCTTCCATGAAAAAATGAAATAAAAACAAAGGATGCCCCCCCAAACATCTGTCTTACGTTGAGATGCCTGGATTTTAGCTCAATTTCTTCTACCACATCATGATATGTCCTCTGCCAAAATTCCATCCTCTCTTTGGGCCTTGGTGTCACTTCTATAAAATGAGGTAGATGTGCTACAAAATTTCTCTTGCCTTAATGAAAATGACTTATATACTTGGTTTTAATGAGACCAATGAAGTGAGATAGCTGGGTTGTATACCATAGATCATCTAAAAAGAAAAAGGTCCCGTGAGAAGTAGCAGGTCCTTCCAGCTACTACTGGAAGGCAATATAGGCAAACAACAGAGCCGCAAATTGGGTCAAGGCCAGGAGCTAGAACAGGACACTCAATATGCTGATTTCTAATAAATTAGCTCCCTAAGCATAGGGAGTAGGGTTTGTTTTTAATGAGATAACTAGGTCTAGGGAAGTTTTTATGACAGCTCCGATGGATCAAACCGAAATAAAGGAAGGAAGAGAAAGACTACAGGGAATTCTTTAGAAAAACCTCTGCATAGCTCCATTTAAAAATAGTCTGCATATGTTCCATTGGCATGTATGTATCTCACAATCATTAGAAGAGAAAACTAGAGCTCACTCAAGAAGCAACTTGTGCCACAAGTTTTTAACTAATTCTAAAAACTACGATATGTGCCAAGAACTTTTTTGTAACATAAAATGATCTTTTGATTAAAAGCAGGGGTAACTCATTCATATGATTGACTTTTGATTAAAAGAAGACAAATAACAGGAAATATAAAATGTAAAAATGTAGTAGTTGATCTATCTGATCTTTCTTCTTCCCTGGCCAGAGTGAGAGGAGGCAACTACTGAGAATTTTGGTAGCAGAAGTCTTTGTAGGGAAAGGGAGAAAGAAGGTCCAAAAAACTAACAGGCAATGTTTGGGCAAGTGGGATATTGGGAGGCACTTAAATGCTTTTCTCTCGTAAGAACAGTTAATTACAAGCAGCAGTTGAACAGCTTAAAAAGACTCTCTGATGCAATCAGATGGCTGTAAAACTCACATACCAGAGCACAGAGGAACATACAGAGCTCAGAAGGGATGCTACTATGTCTTGACTAGAGTGGAATGGAATAACTTAGTAACAGCTGAAACAGCAACTCAACAGCTAAAGCAGAACTGAGCCCAAGGAGTAATCCAATCAGCTATGCCACTGACAAGGGAATGGAAAGAAAATGTTTCCAAGTGTAGATTTTTTCAGATTTTCTCCTTTTTCTACCTAAAGAATGTATCACCACTATGACACAATGAATCAGAAATTATAGAGGCAAGAGTAACCACCAGACCTCAGGAGAACTACTCTACAAAGCTCCTTCTTCTGCCTTAGAGGAATCAGTCAACAGAGTTTGCTGGTCTGCCCCAGAGAACCAACCAATCTACAGTGAAACCTCCCTCTTCCCCAGAATCAAGTTTATGAAGCTGTTTCTCCTGCTTCCCATGGGAAAAGCTTAAGAGAGAGTATGTAAAATCCCCAAATCCCCAGAAACTTTGTAGGGAATCACTTACCCTTCAGGGAGCCACTGAGGCAGCGAGGGGTCACCATCATGTGGAATCTTTTAAAAAGAGATAGAAAAAAAGTTAGACATGGGAAAGATGGGAGACTGTCGGTAGGCTGGGCAGTGTGAGCAGTAGAGTAGGAAGCATAGAACAGTGTAGGTGATATAGCCAGCCTGATGTCTAAGCCAATGCCCTGGTCAGCCAGGACAACAAGCAGGCTGCTGAAATGAACAGTACTTATGTCCCCAGTGAATAGAAAGGATATAAGGCCAAGCTCACTGATATCCTGGGGGTAAGGGCCACTCAGATAGAAAACCTCATATCCCCTTATATGAGCCATTGGTACAGATAGCAGTGAGCCAAGCCCAGGAGGACCAACTTAGGCTTTTAGGTCTCACTAAAGCTAAAGGACAATTTCATATAGGGTCCAGTCTTTTTTCCAGCTACATCCCTAAACTCCCTTGGCTGCCCCAGAGTCAGATCTGATCTTTCTGGATTCCCATCTCCTTTTGTGGTTTGATTAATTGGGTGCCCTAAACCCCCAACTCACTGACACTGGGTACACATGTATGAGTACACTGATACTGAGTCCACTCTCTACATTTGATAAACTCTGTATAATGAGAGAACCCAAGGCAGATTAGACACTTGGATTATCATTCTGGCAAATTTTATAGGCCTAGAGTGAGAAGTTAAAAATGGAGATACTAAATAATTCAAAGAAAGAACAGTTCAAAAAAACCACTTTTTAAACAAAAACCAAACCAAACCAACCAACCAACAAACAAAAAGCAAATTCTTCAAGCAGCGTGCAAAGAGAGTTCCAAAGCTGGCAGGACTCTCCAGAGAACCCTATTACATGCTTTTCAGGCACAAGAAACCCAGTGCTAAAGGTCTGGGACTTCCTGCCCCTCCTTGTCCCCCTCCATCTCCAACAACTTCTCTGCCTCCTAACTCTTTTGAGCAAATGAGCTTCAGAGGGGAGACAGAAGAAAGCTGTTTAGCTTCAAACAGGAAATGTTTTGGGAGTGCTATAAAGGTAGAAGTTATAAAATAGGGAGAGATAGGATAGGGCTAATGAATGATGGAAATGTGAGTAAGAATAACTCTCAGTAGGTGCAGATGAGCTTTGGATTGAAGACCCTTCTCAGGTTGTCTGTGTTTTAAATAAGTCTATCTGCCTACTGCCAACAGCCTTCATTCTACCCCATCTGCCTCCTACCTGGTTCTGTGGGGAGGATAATTCTGATAATGGGAAGACCAGGACCAAAAGCCAGGCAGCCAGAAGTGGGTGAGGCAAAAGACAATATGAACAGTGGAAGAAACAAGAGTAGGTGGCAAATAATGGAAAAGTGCAAGTCTCCTAAGATTGTAGCCCAGGGTAGGTGTTAGGGGAGTCCACCCCCAAATCCCCAGAATCTACCAATTTATCCTCCCTTTGGAAATAGCCACCACATTAAGCAGATTCTTATTTCCTATCCAGAATTAGATATTTGCCACAAATCACTAGGCTTAAGGATACAAAAGTCACAAAAAGTCTTTGAGAGGCAGGCTCAGATCACACACATTTCCTGTGCTCAGAGGGGAACACGTGTGCAGAAGCCTGCACCCACAGCACAGGACACATACACGCAGTGCACTGAAGGAGGGTGCAGGAGTGGGAGTGGGAGGAGGTCTAGACAGAGTACCTATAGGAGGTGTACTTATAGTTATAACTTATGCCTGTAGTAAACACAAGGTGAGAGTGGATCTTGTGCTCATGGCTTCAGAACATGTGCACAGACTCAGATGGGGAGGATTCATGGTGCTCAGCAGGGCCCAAATCACAGGCAAAGCGAATCCTCACTATCTTCAAGAGTCAGTGCTTACACAGGGCATTAGTATACTCAGCATTCACACGGCTTGGAGGAACCAAGACAACAGGTCTACATAAGCTTGTGCTCACTCTAGAAAGTTCAGGAAGCCTACTCAGAGCACAAAGCACACTCACACTTAGGGCCCCAGGCAAGAGGCACAAAATGCCTGCAGCAACTCCTGCTCTCAAATACAAAGTATGCATGCATGCTGGGCTCAGCCAAGGTTTATAGCATATGCCAGAGTTTGCAGCAACAGTAGAAAATGGACACACACTGAGCAGAGTAAGAGGAGAGGAGGGCAACCAGTGTCTGAAGGAATCAAACTGAGTACAAGTGTAAGCACACACATGCTACAATGAATGTGCACCCATGCTGGCACACATACATTCTCACACTGTGCTCCAGCGATGTCTGCGGGGCACACATAAGCATAGAGCATGCACACAAACTGCTTTCCAGAAAAACAGACTATCTGCATGAGCCAACGCTCAGAGACATAGATCACGTGCACTCACGTACACGTGCACAAGCACACACACAGTGCTCAGGAGGGGTGGAGAATAAACAACAAAAAGGGCCCAAAAGGCCAGAGGCACAACCTGAAGGGCTCCTCGCTTTCCTTCTGCAAGGAGAGAAAGAGCAGAAAAAAAGTGCAGAAAGGTTAGTAGATTTAGTCCTAGAGTAGGGAACCCAAAGAAAATGCCAGCAAAACCCCAGGGTTCACAGAGGAGAGGGAGATGTCCTCTGGACAAGTGAGCGGTTAGTTCACAAAGCCCAGCTGACTGACTCCCAGATTTCTTATTGACTGTATTTGCTGGCCCCTGCTTTTTAATTTGGAACAGCTAAAGTCTACCTGGGGATTCCAGTCATCCTTTTCCTTTTTTCAAAGCGGCCTGTATCCACGGTCAGGCCACTTTGGAAAAGGTGGTCCAATAAGACCAGCTTTGTTACCAAGAACCATTCCAAGAAGTTATCCAAACTAGCAGAGCACAGAGTGAGTTATCTTCCTCAGAAGCCACATGAGCTTACTTTGAATCTGGAATAAGTACTCAAACCCCAAAAGCCTGGTGGCTGAGCCCTTTGCATTTTGCAGTATAGGCCTGGTCATGCATTTGCCCAGCAAGCCCTGGCCTTTTTTTCCCTGACCCTAGATTAAATTAGGCCAGGACAGGGCCTGGGGCTGGGGCCAAGACAAGGATGCTGAATGGCTACAGGCCCAGGGGAATGAAGTAGCTGCTGCCCTAACACGAATCACAGTGATCTGGACAATGAAACCCCAACTGCAATCCCAAGCCTGATTATTTACCGAACCCAGAATAATACTCCAAAGGAAACCAACCCTTCTAGAAGGACCCACACAAGCTACAAGAGGGTCAAAATAAAGCCCAGAGATTACTCCTTTCCTATCTGTCAGAAGCTATACTGCCTTACAGGCTACACATGGATAGGGCCGCGGGCTTCTTTATTTAAGGAAAGTCCATCTACCCGGATGCATCAGCACCACCTCCTCCTCCTTTCCTTCCTTTATAAAGATCCACTGATATAAACAGAAGGGAGAATCCAAGAATCTAATTCATAAGTTCCTCATTTTTAAAGCTATTTTTTATGACTCAGTGGGTCACTTGTCCTGACAGAAGAATGAACTCAGGACTAGAAATCCTCCAAAACAGTGCAGCTCTAGGAAGGTGGGTGAGATGAGAAAGATGCTTCCTGGAACGAGGACATCTCTCTTCTTCATCTACATCCCACCTTCCCCAGAACACTCTGTTCCCTTTGAACAAGAAAATTAGGCAAGGAACCCTTTCACTGACCCTATGACTCAAATTGGAAATGTTTCTCTCCTCCTCCACTATCTTAAATACGTTCTACACACCATATCAAGTTATTTTGATTATATTTTTCTGAATCTTCTAAATTTCCCCATAATGTCTAAAGGATAAAACCCAACCCCTTGACAAAGCTGTCAAAGTGCTCCATGGTCTGACTGCAGTCCACCAATTCTCCTCCCCCATCCCCTTCTCAGACCCCACAAATACTTCCTCGGAACTAATTACCTTCCCAAAGAGGTCACATATTCAAAACTGCACATATTTATTTGTTTGTTCTGTTTCATCAGCCTGAAACAGCATCTTACACCTTCTTTCCATAGAGAAAAACTCAATTCTTCCTCCAAAGCATAACTCTGGGAAGCCTTCCTTGCCCACTCAAGCAAGTCAAGAAAAGAGGTGCACCTCCTGGTGCACCTGTTATGTCCATCCTTCTCGTTGTTATTTAAAGTATCATGCCTCAACAAATCCCACCACTGTATGATTGAGAACCACAGAAAACAGATGGAGATTTTTAATCTCAAAGGGCCTCAGTGTCACTTGACGAGTCTCTCCCATTTCACTAGTCAGCTCCCTCTACTACTTTTCAAAGTATTAAACATTAAATAGTTACACCTAACATTCAGATGCCTACTTTACCCTAACACATTAACAACTGCCTGTTGCACATCATCTAGATAGCCCATGCTTAGTTCAAATTCAGCATGTCCAAACACTAACCTTATATATTCCACCTCTAAACTCCTCCTCTCTATTTTTGAGATCTGAGAACCTCAGCCATCACAACCTGATCCCTCACTCTCTCCACTCCATCATACTCAATCAGTCACCCATCCCTGTATCTTCTACCTCCCAAATACCTCTGGCATCCATTCCTGCCTGTTTCAAACTGCCAAACTGGCACTCTCATTGTATCTTAACTGGACTATTTACAAGAGATTCCAAACTGACCTCTCTGCCACTAGACTTGCTCCTCACCAATTCATACTCCATATTTTCTATTTCAAAATTCTGACCACACTTTTTCTTTGCTTAATTGCATCAATGGCTCCCCATTCCTTACGGTAGCACAAAATTCTAGTTTACATTCCTTCCACTCCTTCTTCTGCATCCTGTACTCAAGCCTTATTGAACACTGTCCATAGCATCTCTGAGACTACACACCTCCCTCCCACATCTAGTAGGTGGACTTAGACCTTCAGACTTTTTTTTATCTCACTCTGGTGGTCCAGGCTAGAGTGTTGTGGAGTCAGCCTAACTCACAGCAACCTCAAACTCCTGATCTTAACTGATCCTCCTGCCTCAGCCTCACAAGTAGTGGGGACTACAGGTACTTGCCATAATGCTCAGCTAATTTTCCTATTTTTAGAAGAG